GGGGAGGGATGGCGAGATGGGAGAATGGAGGGATGGAGGAAGGCTGCTAACCAATGTTGAAGAAGAACTAGAAGAAGAAGAAGAAGATGGATGGATGGATGGATGGATGTGCAAGGAAAATGAGCGATAGCAAACCTCAGTAATCAAACAGCATCATACACATGAGACCAGATAGTCGTGACCTCAAACCAATAGCAGAATTGCATCACGAGTTTCACGAAATAAGAGCACAGCAAAAGCTCATAATTGACAATGCTGGAATGGTCTCATGATCATCAACGAAGAACCAATGTCGATATCCTATCTGGCGCTCGGCGCCCAGACTACAGATTGCAGATCCTGTCTAGCCTAATCTACAATGCCGCCGATGATATCAACAGCTCCCCAAAGTAAGAGCAGATCTCGGCGAATGCCATACACTGAAAGCACCAGGTATGTCTCTTGTATCGCTCACAACCTCGTTCCCCAACTCACAGATGCCACATGCACCCAAGGACCACCATGCGCCCCATCCAGCATACAGCAGCGCAGCTCGGCTATGGCTGCCTACTCCTTCCAGCTCGCCCGTGAGCGCGTGAGCGCTGGCCAGCGTTAGCGCAGCAGCACTTGTGCAGCATGCAGCCAGTGCCCGAATGTCCAATGTGTGGGCAGGCCCTTCCCTATATCGAAGTGGCCTGCTGCTGCGTGCAATAATGTGGTACTGGGCCCCAGCCCAGAAGCTTCCGGTAGGCCCCGGGAGCCTGAGCCTTGGTACAGAGGAAACAGGCCCAGGGCCTGTGGTGGTTACCAGCGCCCAACTGCCCTCGCCTGTGTTCGGTTCATGTTGTGTATCCGGCCCAGGGCCTGCCCTAGTTACAGACGATAAAGGGGCAGCCTGGGCCTGGGCGCTTTCAACCAACTGGCGCTGCGCAACTGCCTGAATTTTCCCCAGTTGCGTAGTAGTCCAAAATAGGCCTCGGTCGGGCCTGCCTTCACTTAGGGCGGCCGACCTTGCTGCTAACAGGGCCCAGTGGGGCTTACAGAGGCCTTGTGCCTCGCAGATGGATGGAGGTGGGGAGGGATGGCGAGATGGGAGGATGGAGGGAGACTGCTTAAACCATCAGTACTTGGCCCAGCTATCAAGTCCGAG